ATTTTAATGAAACTATAAAGCTCATTACTGCTTCATGGCAGAGGGTTACTGTCAGTGACCTAGAACAGACAGCCTTATATGCCAAAAGCGAAGCCTCCTGTTTAATCTATCGTAAGTGATGTTGGCATATTTCAATTGTGTGAGCTGGATTCTGTTAGATTCCATAAACAAGCCATTTTTGCTACCAAAATAGCTTTATAAATTAAAAAAATATATACATTAAGATTTTACAGATTTTAATACAGTCCTAATTTTAATTCAGGTTGTCTTTCATGTGTCAACATACAGAAGTATCATGGTAGACATCTGAGGTTTATCAAATGGGGTTACTAGACATAATCTGTATCCCAAAATTTTGGTTTATGGTCATCTGAGATCACAAATTATCACATAAAGTTACTAGAGAGCAACATTATCCCAAAATTTCAGCTTGTGGTCATCTGAGACCAACCAGTCACCGGCTCTTTGTTTGGGATATCTGCTGAGGTCACCAAATTAGCAGTTCATTTATAACAACAAGAATCTGTGCTGAGTATTGTACAAAGACATAAAGCAGAGTTACTGCTGAGGACTGTGTCAAACACATGATTATAAATCCACAATTTTTTTTTTATGCCATGGTTATTAATTTCAAAAATCACAGACATGTTCACTATCACTCCAGCTGCTCCCATCTATCATTTCCATTAGGCCATCCCTTCCAGTTATCCAGCACTATTTTAACACTGTATTTTCAACTGCAATATGATGTGAAATCAAATGCCTGATTTTTTTCCTAAAAAAAATGAGAGAAAGGGCAGGAAAAACAGAGAGGAATTAATACTTAGAATCTTAAGAAGAATTTGTTTTCCCAACCATCTACCTCCTTAGTTATGCTCTGTGTAACAAAATGTGCTTCCTAACCTACATTGTCTACTTTGCACTAAGAACACAAGACACTATGCAGGTGTCATAGGTGGTTGTATTCTAAGCAGGTGAAAACATGGCAGATATTTGCAATCTATGCAATACTATATACAGAGATTTTCTCCGTAGCACAGAATTCAAACCACATTTTTTCAACCATAAAAAAAGAAAGCCAAACCTTGTTGCGTTCAGACCTTCTTGTCTTTAGTGAGAGTTCAGCAGATACATTGGAGATTACTCAACTGCAATGAAACTGCACATGGATGCAGAGCAAACAGGAGTCCACTGCCTCAAGGCAGAAATGGATGCAGCAATGAGAATAAAGGTCTGTTCGGAAGGATAAAATTGTTTGATCAGATCAAAAATATTTTTCAGGAGAAAACTCAGAAACCAGGGAACAAAAATTAAAATTCCTTTTTAATCATCCAAAATGAACTGAGTGTGGCTTGGATTTTAAAAGAAATAAGTTAGTTGTCAACATTGCAACCAAGACACTAGGTATGATTCTTCCCACTTCAGTTAACTACAGCATGTTCATTTGTGTCAGTGTAAGAGATGGTCTGAAGTTTCCCTCATCTGCCTCATGACCATCACAAGAATACAGACTAAGACCCTGAAGACCCCAGGGGACTTTGTGCAGGGGTTCTGGCCTGGTGGAGGTGGATGCCTGCTAAGTGATTGTTTGAAGGTGTGCTCGACCTGACACCTTCTTCCCAAAGCAACGGGTCTCACCACAATAGTGATTGTTTGCAGGTGTGTTTGCTGTGCTGCCATGGTACATTGCCTTAATTCCTGCTGTTGAGCAGGGACTTGTGAAGAGTGGCGTGCTCTGTACCTTGCACCTGCTTCTCAGAGCAACAGATCACACCACAGTAGTCGATAAATCTCATCACCTTTTGGCCAACTGCCCCTCTCTCTGAAACAGACCATAAAAGTGACTTTTCTAAGTCACTTTCAGAGAGAGATCTCCCCATGGAAGATGACACCGCCGACCCTGTCTCGTCCATTGGTAGCTATAACTCCCCTTTTCTCACTCTTTACTTTGCGTCTCTCTCTCGCTCCCAGCCACCCCCCCCCTTTCTCTCCCTCTCATCTATTGCATAACCCATGATGCTGGCACTAAAATAAAGATACATTATTGCTGTTGTGATTTAAACTGAAATCCCTTGGCATCCTTTTTGCACTCTGAGATCAAACAAACCTCTCATGACTCCCACTTGTGTTAGTGGATCATGACACCCAGCTGAGACACAGATGGGCCTCCAGCCTAGAAACTACAAACCCAAATGGAACTGCTGCTTAAGCTAGTTTAGTGCTGAATTAATTAATTGCAGATGGTAAATAACTAATGAAATAATGTGATTATTTATATCACATTTAAAGTCACACCTGCAATCATATTGGGCAGATTGGAGTATACACCAATTCAGTGGTTCTGGATTTGTATCTTTGACATCCTCAGTCATTAGGATAACTGGACTCTTTAGATGATGATATACTCTACTTTCCAACCCACAGCCCTTCCAGTAAAATCTTGCTGCAGAGTGGCAAAATCTGACATCCCAGTGAGAACACAGCTGCTCACAGAAACAAGCTTTAACACTCATCCAATAAATAGATTCTACCTTCCACTTGCTCTGTTTCATTCACAAATTCCTTCTTTCTGCACTGTTCTCCAGCTTCTTTCCTTGGAAACCAAGCTCCTCCACTTCCTCTTCTACTTTGGGCCAGCACATTCCTGCAGTGGAGCAAGGAGTTATCTGCTGATGCTGTGCTAATTAAGGGCTATGGCTGATATAATTGTAATGCTTAAATAAAAGCAGAAAAGGCATGAAACCATGTACCATGGGGAACTGGGTTACTTTATAGAAATAAAGGAAGGGAGGAGATGAATAGCTGAGACATTCTCTCATCACCAGACATGACTTTACCTATAAGCCTTCTTCTTGCCTCATAGCAATGACACTGGCTTTCTTTCATATCAATTCATGCATTTCAAAGGGCCAATAGCATAAAAAGATTCTAAAAATAGGTTGAAGCCTGAAACCAGAAAGCAGCTGTTTCATTAGCAACAAGAGAAGCAGAAGGGGAAAAAATTGTAGGACAGAACTCCCTAAGTGTGCCAAATGATTTGCATTTCATATATTTTAAGCTATCTAGCAGACATTCTTCTAGAATCAGGACACATTTCAGATGTACAGTAACTGATACAGCTAGAACCTGCTGTGTGTGCTCTTTTCTCTTTACAGCAAATAGGATTATTGAGAATCAGAGTCCTGGAACATGACACCTATCAGCACTCCATATTATAGGACATCCTACAGGATCATCTTGCACTGGAACAGGAAACTTTCATCATTGCTATATTCTGCTATAACAGCTGGACACATATTCTGAACTTGTGCTTATAAAGTATCAGTGTCACAAGGTGGATTCTCTGCATCCCACACATCCTTGAACATCTTCACTTCTCCCCTAGAGAAGAAATCCTATCCATGAAGATCAATATTCACCCTTTATCCAAAGCCTCTGCAATTCATCACAGGCCAAGTTCATCATCTGTCTTGGAATGACAGCCTGGAAACAAAATGCAAATGGTGAGAAGAATGAAGAGTGATTCAGTGTCCTCAGTCCATCCAGGATTCACTGTGTTAGCTGGCAAGAGAGAATATGGAAACCCATACCATGTGCGTGAGTACACAGATATTCAATATTAGAACAGGTGCTGGATTCAGACTGAGTTTAGGGATGGCAGATTTTCAGAGCTCATGACATCATTAGATTGCTGGTATGCACGCTCGGAACTGAGATTAAAATAAATATCCAGGATTTGTACACCACTGACAACTAAATGGTGTGAAAAGGGACGAAACAAGTTGAAGATAAACCCTTCAGGTTGAAAAGCAAGGGCAGGAAGAGATGCATCAATATTCAAGCTACAAGTAAGGCTTGGAAATGAGAAATTCAATCCTAGTTCTATTAGACAGCTGAATTGATCACAAATGCCTCATTCCTCAGTCTCCATGTAACCCACCCCTAGGGAATACTCACTCTGAGACCGTCATAGCAGGCATCCCTCCTGTAAGAGCCTTCAGTGGTGGGACAGTTGATCTTGTGAGAATTTTTCCAGGCAGGGTGTGGGCAGCCATCAGACACTGATGGTTCATGGCCTCTGGTGTCCTCAAGGAGTGCAGCTCCTCGAGTACTAGAGGCTCAGAGTTGTACTACACATGAGATCTGTTCCCATGGAAAACATCATGAGCCCATGTCAGCTGTGGGAAAATGCTGTGGGAGATAAAACAGTCCCTCATCATTCTTGTACTTCATCCCTACTGACATGCTTTGCTACCTACACCTGGTCCCTGCACATGGACCGTGACTGGGGAATTCCCGCTCCTTTCATCAGCTTAGAAATGCTTGGTAGGACCCAGCCTTCCCTATTGCTGCCTGTTCCAATCCACAACAAGTTCTGGGTCCAATGTGGGAGGCAGAGGTGTATGGGTCACATGCAGGGATCTGTTATTCTAGGTTCCACAGTAGTGACTATTGATGTATAGCTTATATTCCTGCCTCGGTGTCAGGGAGCTTAGTTTCAGCAAAAGGTAAAGAAGTTGAGCAGCCTCAGCGGAGGTACAGCGAATTGCTAGGTCTGGCTGCATCAAGAAGGGGTCCAGACAGAAAGCCATATGGAAAAAGAGGGTAGGGACAGGGCAAGGGAGGGGAAGGAATTTGTCAATAAAACAGCAGATACTTGAGAGGGAAGGGAGCTAAAACTTCTTTTTCTGGCTAGATGGAGACCATACTGCTCCTAGACAAGGACCAATGATACTTTTGACAGTACAAAACAACCACAGCCAATTCAAGTGTTCAGGTGCAAGTCACACCTGAAAATATGGTGCTATCTGGGCAAAGAAAGGAAAAGTGCTTTCTGCACTGCCTCTCTCACTGTTTGACTCAGTTTTAGCCTTGGGAGATACTCAGTGCTTTAATGACCTAGGCAGATGGGGTAGAAATCATCCAAATAAATCAATTAAGAGGACCACATCTGAGCTACTTGGATTAGACTTTCTCCTGAATTGTTAATGGACATCATACAATTCATCATGCACTAAAATAGAGATCTAAAATAAGACAGGTGACTCATGCCTAAAAATAGATAATCACTTCCATTAACTAATAAGGGAAGCCTGGAGTGCTCAGTTCAGCTGCAAATGTAAATACATCACACGTGTCTGAGGTAGAGAGAAGTGAATTCCATCCCAAGTTATTGTCAGTATCAGGAATGACTTCTTTTCCAACAATGCCTGCAGATCTACTGGGACAAACCCTTGTGCTGCGTTTTGCTGCCTTTCTCTGGCTGCCTCCCCCTGCTTGAGCGCAAAGGCCAGGAATATGACAGTCAAGGCTGAGATACACAGGACAACTCCTTTCTCTTTTAAGGTATGTTTGAGCTGTATGCCTCTTCTTGAGACCAGAGCTACTAAAACCGAGACTTTCAGCCTTTGCTCCACACTTACAACACTGCAGAAGAGCTAAGTGCCATGTGTCAGATGATGTGGCTGTGGAACACAGTGCTCCTGTTGCTCCTGTCAGTCCCCTCCTGCCCTAATTAAGGGTCAGTCCCTCAGTCAGCTCCCAAGGCTAACACTTCATTGTGGTCCTGTGAAGCAGGGGAGAGGAGCTGTGGGAATAGAGATGGTTGCCTTGTGATTGTCTTCAAGGTAGGATGCTATTTATTATAAATGTTCCCTGGCCTCTCTGTAGCCATGGTCCTCCCTGCTGCAGCTCAGAAAGTGGGAAAGATATTATAGCATGAACTAAAGGGACTAAAACGAGGTATTCCAGCTTTATTCTGGGGATTGAGTGGAGAAAGAGAAAGAAAATTGATAATGCGCTCTTTTTTGAAGTCAGGGAGAGGGGTGAGGGTTACAACCTTACAGCCAATAAGGAAAACTGGGAAGGAAGAGATAAGGGGGAGAAGCTAACATTCTGTATTTCAGGGGTACATTCTTGGGTCATACTGATAGTAAAAGGTTTTAAAATCATAGAAAATTCGGGGACTTAGAAAGAAAGTTAAGCTTGGAATGCCCTGGGAAAAGTAGGCCCTTGTGCTAAATGTTAGGCCTTGTGCTTGCTAAAGATCAAGTGAAACTGCACCTGTGTAATCAGTATATGATAAATAATACAATTGTTAGATGTGACTAGATGTAATTATTGTTTAAAGAACATGAGGAACAATGTTAGGGGTTTGAGGAGGGATCATGAGAAACCCATGCTTGGGTAAAAACAATGCATACAATAGAACAATGTAAGTTTAATAATTAATATGTAAGTTATATAACGATAGAGTATAAAAACATGTTCAACTCAAAACCAAGATGGGTCAGATTTGGGTATGGGTACCCCTGACACCCAGAGCTCTTCAATAAAGTACCTTCATATAATCATTCAATGATTATGTGTGTTCCTGAACATTAACAATACCATTTTTCTAAATGCATTACAACAGTAGGAGGGGAAGAAGAGAGAGAGTCTCAGCGTGCCAGGCCAGGTGGTTTAAGGACAAAACAGCCTGGTGACCAGGAGGGATCTTTACGGGCAGGAAAGTCACCTTTGGGGTTGAGAAGCAAATTGTGCTCTTGGAAAGAAATTCTCGTATAACAGACAAGACTTAACCTTGCAGGGCTTGAAAAAATCATTGGGAAGACTTGCATAAATTTGAAAGCTTCACTTATCCATGTCACCATGTCACCTCCAGAGAGGCTGTGGTGGGGGAACCAAGCTGCCAGAAAAGAATGGGAAAATGGTTTGGACTGCACAGCCTAATCCAAAAACTATTCCTGACTTCTGTGTCAATTCCAAAATTAGCAGGATTTCTACATCAAATCTTCCTACATCCCTCTAATATCACAGCATTTTTCTCATGATCACTCTTTCTCCATGACCACGTTGGTTCCTAAGATTTATTTTCACCATGGCAGACAAGGATTCCCCTGGTGAAGACAGTGAGTGCTATTGAAAAAGCCCTTGCTTCACTTCTGGGTTTGGCCAGCCAAAATCCAGGGAGGAGATACATTATATTCTCATTGTGTATCAAGATTTTTATCTGGAGCTACTATGAAGAATTAGCTTTCCTCCTCAGAATGCCTTAACAACAATTGTCAGAAAACATGTATGGCTACTGTGTGTCCTCTTTGCCCATGTGTCATTACCTTTAAGGTAGTTTTGGGAGCTAAGAAAGTTGAAACTGCTGGTGACTGATGGGAGTCTTTTCTCCTGACCAATTATTGGTCATTACTGGGAATTGACAGCAGTTTTGACCATTAAAAAGTTAAGTCAACCTGTGAACATCTCCTTAAGATGTAAAGTCAGAGCACTCTTGTTCTCTTGGTTTCCTGGCTGTGAAAGGCAACAGAGCTTTAGCTGACTTCTCGTCCCCTGCCCAGCCCATGCGGCCCGGGCAGGGGCTGGGCTGGGCCTGCCGTGGCTCCTGGCTGGGAGATGGGGCCTGCGGGACTTGCCCTGGGCTCTGGCTGGGTCAGGCCGGTCTCTGGCTCGGCTGCAATTTTTGCTGTGACTGAATTCACCAGAGACTTCCGAGTAAAGAAAGGAAAAAAAGCTCTTGACCTGCGGCATGCTGAGACAGTGACCACACTCTCCAGAGCAGACATGAAGAATCTTCCATTGCAGACAACTCCAGCCGCTGCTCCGTCAGAGATCACAGAACCATCTACAAAGCCTGGGCAAGATTTTAACCTTTTCCTTACCCAGATGAGACTTGCAGATTAATCCATTTATCCAGCAAGAGAAAAAGAGAGTAATCAACATGTAAAGAGACTTTATAAACTATTAGAGATAGTAAAGAAAAGAACTAAGCTTCAGAAGAAGTAGAGAATAAGGAGATGCTTTAATTAAGCTGAAATATTTTTCTGTTAAAGCTATGGAGATGGACAATAGTGTTCTGGAAAAAACTCCTTTAATTCATGACAGAGTATATTTGGAGGAATGGAGTGTTCAAAGTGTGGATTTTGAGTAAAAAGTAGAGTAATTGTGATACAGTGAAGTGCTGGAACAGAGTGAAGCGAAGATTTGAAGCCTTGGGGGGCAATGAGAAAACTGTTTTCCAGCGAAGCTCACAGAGACAGATGAAGAGGACTTTTGCCTTTGAATAAATCATCCTTAAAATGACATCCCTAGATTCATGACCCATACACACCTCAGAGTGATGTGAAATGGGAGGAGTGAATTCTGATGACCGGATTTCCGGGCAACTGGCATCAGAAAAATAGAAAGCTATAATAGAAATAGTTTTCTTGTGAGAAACTCCATAGATTAGCAGAAAGAGACTTCTGTTTCTCTACTGATGAAGAAAGACTGATGAAAAGACTGTAGAAGGAATTGGGACTGTTTTAAACACCAAAGTTCCAAAGTTTTTGTCTCTATGTAGTCACATGTACAAGAGAATGGTTAAGTAGTGAGAGATAAAAGGGTTTTCTGGAAGTTTATTCTGGTGGGGGTTTTTTTTTGTTCTTGTAGTCTTGTTAATAAACTTTCTTTATTCCTTTTAAGTTTTAAGCCTGTTTTGCTCTTGTTCTAATCCATATCTCACAGCAAGAAATAAGTGATTTTTTAGTTACTGCTTTAAAACCACGACACCATGTTTCCCAGCTCCCAGCCAGTGGACCCTCCTATCACCCAAGATAACCAGTCCTTCACTGACAATGTCCCAGAGCAGTGCTGCACTCATCCTAGTAAATTCTGATGCTGGTCAGCAATCCTCTGCTACCATGCAGGAATGAGGGAACAACTGTTTAAAGTCACTGTTAATGTATCCAAAGGACCTGTGGGCATGATCACAGGTCCACTTTTAAGTACCTGCTTGTACAGCTACAGAATATAAAGAATTTAGTCAAAGATACTTTGGAGTCATCGATAACTTAACATTGCAAAAATGTAAGACTTTTGGGTGACTATCCCAATAAGTGCTGTGCAATTTCTTGGTAATTAGTCCTACAAACACCATCATTAAACTTTAAACTAATATAAAGAAAATGTGCAACTGAGCATGCTAATAATAACACAAAGCCAGTTTGTTATACTGAATGTCTCCATAAAGATATTCTTTATAACACCTTTGGCACAGCTGGGACCTTGCACAATTAAATTTGATTTCACTTTCTTACAACTCTAAGCATAACTGGAAACTTCTAATTAGTTACAATTATTCTTTTAGAAATGTGTTTCTATTTAGGATAATCTTGTATTCTTCTAGCCAAATGCCATATGTATTTATTATTATTGTCTCCTACTGATGGCTTTTTAACTGAGACACTTTGACCAAGATAAATAACTACATGCCTCCCAACTACAGTTCTTTGTGTGGCATTTTCTTTGGGCAGTAAAATAATTTACTAAGTAAAAAATAGCAGTTTATGGAGATAAGATAATTTTCCATTCTACTATTTTAGGTAGAGATAAAAATGCATGCTGATTATCTTCTAAATCTAACATTTCCACACCCCACCCCACCAACAGCTGCTAATAAAGTAGCCTCATTAATGAGACTTCCTCACCTAATTGTGTTTCCCTTCTGCCTAAAACAGCAGACAAGTAAGCTACAGTTTCCTCTCAATGTCTACAATGCCTGCCTAGCTGGCATGCCCAGGAGCACTCCTCATGTCGCTCAGTGGGAGATGCAGGACCAGGAACATCCATGCCCAAGAAACCCACCCCAGAACCAGTAAAATATGGTCTTGAAAAAGGACAGTCCCTACTGGTCTCTGTCAGTGCAATACAACCCATGATTGTGTGCTACCTGTGCTCTGAAGCCATGAGGTGCCAACTACAAGAGCAATTAAGCAAAAAATGCCTGTTTACTGCACAGTTGTGCCCCAAACTGAAAAAGCTCATATGTGTTCACTCACAGATTTCATTCAAGCAAGAGGGTGAGGTTGAATTATCAGCTAAAATGGAAACAGACAAAAAGTGATAAACTGGAGAACAAACCACTGGAACTTATTTACTTCTTGAGAAATTAATGAACCCCATGAGCTCAAACGTTGCAAAGCAAATTAAATACATGTCTTTCCCTTTTAAAATCTGGAGAATTACAGCAAGTGGAATTGACTTTATGCTTGTCTTCCTACTAATTCACTACAGGTAGCAATCTGGTGAAACCCAGAAGGGAAATGGCAAGACAAATCTATATCAAAATGAAAAGAACATTAAATGAAGGAGCTAGAGCAGGTGAAGGAATAATACATAACTTTAAACATTATATAAGTTATTTTGTCATACTTACCATTTCCTTACTTTAAAATCACAGATGTAGGCCACAGTGCACCTTAGGAGCTGATTCTATCATACAAGATTTTGAAAAGATCGACCAGCAAGTAAAAAGTAAGTAAAGTTAAAAGATTTGTACTTATACTGCAGGGTCTGAATGCTTTCTAGGTCAGTGCTCTATCTGACTTTATTTTCAGTTTTCTCATCACCAAGCATTCAGAAATTATATATATAATACATACATCATGTTACTAGAGTAAGTCATGAGTTCATTTTATTTACTTGTCTATTTTGATGCACACAGGTTGTCGCCTTTTTCTGGACAGGAGCCTTAGAAATTTACCTTGGGGGTAGGGGAGAAAGAAGCTAAAGTTTTGAGACTACAGTGTTTCAAGAAGCATACCAAGCTCTTTCTCCCAGCATTTTTAGGTTAATGATACAATTGTCACAACCAGCAAAAATTTGAATATTAACAATAAATGGGTTTTTGTAGACATAGTCTCTGACTCAATCTCTTTTCTCCAGAAACACACCTGACAACATTGTTTAAATAATTCAATTAGTGATAATTAGTGACTCTGGATGACCATGAGCCAAAATTATAAAGGTGATCTCTAGTAACTTCATCTATTAATTGGTGATCTCAAGTAACTCCCTGTGCTAATTAGCAACCACAGATGATGGCCATGTTCAAACTGTTGACTTCTGTGCCCAGACATGCATGCAGTGCATGTGATTTTGGGGTCACCACATTAACTCCTAGAGGTCAGTTCCAGATGCCCATGCACCAAATCTAACTCTGCAGATCAGTTCAGGCCCATCCTGTCCTGTATTTCTTTCTCAGAAGTCCCCTGAGATGTCCCTATGAGCCCACAGTGTCCCTTAAAGTTACCTGGGGACTAAATCTGCATCAGGACATCAATTGAGATCATCCTGACACCCAAAAATACATTTGGGCTCCCCTAGGGCTCAAGTATTAGGCCCCACCATCATTTGTCATCCCTCACTTGGCTTCTTGGGATCATTTGAGGTTACAGAAGTATCAGTTATATCCCTTGGGGTGACTCAAGGTCAGTTTCTGCTGAACTGTAACATCCTGGCTGCTTTCAGAGTCTCTCCAAATCCAGTGTCAGTTGGAAGGAGTTAGAGTGGAATGAACCCACTAGAAGATTTGCATTACATACTTGCCCTGAGTGCAGCTTTTAGGCAGTATCCTCTGAGAGGAGCACATGAAGTCACTAATAATGGTGACCCCAGTGCATCTCCCCCTCTACTTCCCCCAGCAGACAGCACTGTTTAACAAAAACATAATGTCAAAAATGGAGAATGAGGAGCAGCCCTGTTTTATCTCAAGAAGGAAGGGGAAGAGGCAGTTGCTTTTCCTTAGTAAACTGTTACAAAATTAATAGAAATTGTCTTCCATCTCTTTACATCATAGGGAGTTTTAGCAGAGTCTCGGCCCCAACAGGACTCTGCCATCATCCATCACCTCTCACCACAGTGCCCTCATTCTCTGGGCCTCTTGGAACTCATTGCCTGAGATCCTTTAGCTCCCCATTGTTCACTTCATGATTTTGGCTACTAAAACCAGTTAAAGGCATCTTACTTAGCAGTTGTCTTTTACGAAGAAACTACAAAGAGAATACACTTGATATTCATGCACATTTCTGGAGCAGCAGCAATATCTGCTTGGAGACTTTCTGCCCTGTGCAAACACATCAGCCCACAGTGGCAGACCCCTGCGAGCTCTTAAAAACTGGCTTCAGCTTTGCTTCAAGTATTTTGAGATAAATTGTCTCAGCTTTCATAAGGGGAAAAAAAATCAATTAAAAATCCCTACCAAAACAACGAAACAATCAAAATGCATGAAAAACAAAAACCAAACCAGTGTGGGGATTGGATGGGGAAAAAAGACCATAATCCAAATTATTCCAAGAATCACGATGCTATTGGCCTCACTGGAGCTCCAGGCTAGCTCTATGGTGCCACTCCAGCACGGGCAGTCACCAGGAGTGGGGAACTGCAGGGGAAAGGCAATCCCACTGCAGAACCTTCAGAGCGCCAATTCACACCAAGCTCTGCCAACTCAGTTGTCATGGGTGGTGGTAAAAGGATGGAGGAGACTCTCTTGGTAGGAGTTCCCAGGAACAGGTTTATTAAGGAGAGGGGAGGAACATGAGGGTCTGGGCTGCGAGAGTTCAGGACCAAAGAGAGCCCTGAGCCCCTCTGTACACTGGGTTTTATCCAAGAGGAGGGTACAGTCCAGGGTCCAATGGGAGCTCGCAGTAGGAGGGGTGAGGGGAGGAGGTTACAATCTCAGTGACCAATGAGAATACAAAGAAAGCGGGAATGTAACATATCAACAAATAAAGTACAGAAGAAGGGATGATATACATGGAAGGATCTGGAAGGAGCGGTGGGGTTTACAATGATGGATGGTGAGTTGGGGCAGGGTTAAGGTGATTGATGAGGAACAATCAAGAAAACTAGGTAGGGTTTATGTGATGGACAACTGGAACCTACCAAAGTAATCAATGGGGGAAAACCAGGAACATACCAACAGACAAAATACCAACAATTTCAACAGAATTAAATAAACATATTACAACACAAGAGAAGAGGGAGATTAGTTTATAGGGAGAAAATCAGACAATACAAAGTCCAAATGTGCAGTTCCAAATTCCCAGCACTAGCTGAAGCCAAAAAAGCTCTCTTTACATCTTTTCCCTCGTTTCCCTTTTGTAACCTACATCCTGATGGAGTTACTCAGAACATGGAGACAACAAAATGCAGAAGCCCAAGATGACCCAGTTTCTGTCCAGGTACCGATACATGTATAAAGATGCTTTCACTTGGCTTTAACCTGTTGAAAAACCTGAAGGAGACCATAAGCACCAGCAAACCCCCAGGAATTCCTAGGGGTTGTCTCACATGGCAAAGAACTGCGGCAGCACAGGACAGGAATGAGGCAAGGCACTATCCCACACCAACCATGCGGTAGAAGAGGCACAACCATGCTAAAGACAACAAATAGTGGTGCTGCATTTCTTTGAAGTCTCTTAGAGGATGAGTAAACTCATACTTCGTGCTGCCCTGAAACAGAATCCAGGGCAAAAGACCAGATCCTGCTTCCTTCAAATCAGTGCTAAAACAAATACCAAACCTACTGCAGTCAGTACAGACCATTTTATAAAACACCGTCAGCTCCCAGTTTCAGTCCCCACTCTGTGTTTAATGGATTTTTTTTTGTTCTGGTGTGACTGTCAAAATCAATGGTCAGAGCAGAGCTTCAGATGGTGTCCATGAAGTTTGAGTCTGCCAGAATGCCAGAAGGCAAAATACCAGGTCTTCAGGTAAACTCTGGGCAAGTTAGGTAATAGCAGTGGTGTTAGTCTGATTTAAAATGTTATTTGGGCCTTTATTTAATTGTTTTCTTTCAGAGCAGACTGATTTTCATTACCATTTTAAATAGATATTGCCACCATATATAATAACTTTCATGGTTTTTTTACCCTCCAACAACTTTATTATGTACTGGCATGACTTTTTTTTTTTTTTTTTTCCCCCCTTCTAGAACTCAGTAATAAAATACCCAAGAGAACCACGCACTTGCATTCACAGCAAAGCCTCCAGACAGATAAAATTCAAATGTGTAAGGAGTTTGCACTAGGTGGAAATACCCAAAATACTGCAGTTTCCTATTGGTTGAAGAACAAGCATCCATGAATAAATGCAATTTAGAATTGTCCCATTGACTCAGCAACACCACACAATAAAACAGTCCCTTTCCTTATGGGACTTAGGAGTGCTACCGTCTCCATGTTTGCAGAGATACCATATAAGCTGCAAATTAAATGAGACAAGAAATCACCTTAAACATACAATGTTCCCTACTGGTTTGTATTTATGCAATAGATAGAGCCAAGGAGAAGATGTGACCTATATACTCTGGTATGGATGCTAAATGCAAAAAGTAAGCAGGGAACAGAGCCTGTGCAAAACTAAGTCACACTAAGTCCCAGGCTTCTCAGTCTGGCCTGGGAAAGCATAAGAAAGAATCCAAACAGTCCTTGGTAAAGGACAACAATCTGCAAGTGTTGTTTAGTCAAAGGGTGGTGTTTCATTTATGGTGATATGTTGTTTTAATGGCCAATGAGAGTTTTACCTCTCAGACATTCTTGAACATGTGTATAAAAGATTAAGAATAATAAACTTTGCTCTTTTGGACAATGAAGCTAAGGGAGTTAGTGTCATGCTTATCACTGTTCCTAATATAGTGCGACACTCTGGTTATAGAACTATCATCTTTTAGAAATTTAATGTTTTGGTAATCCTAGGTACTCCTTTGGAACTCTGGCCTATGTCTGTGTTGATATCTCAGCCTGCAGGAGCTGAAGCCTAAAACAAGTTCCTCAAAGGAAAAGCCATAACATTGCCAAGCCAAAAGAAATAGCAGTGGTGGAAGATACATGGAAAAGCAAATTCAGTGGGTTACTTGTAGGGAAGTTGTAGCTACTCATCCATGTGAAAGAATATTCACTGAAGAAGTGGAGTGGAACTCTCTTCCATTTAAATGTATTGGTTGACTGAAGTGGGAATATTCAAAGCATCTTTTTCTCCTTTTACACAAGTACCAGCTACTTGAACAGAATGATTTGCAGAAGAGTGCATCCAACTGGTTCCTCCCCTTGCCATGCTCTCAGAGCACCTCAAAGGCTGCCCTAGGCTCTAATGTCTGGTAAAAGATCCCAGAGGATGAGAATTGGTGATTAAAACTCTAGCAACACAAACACCTATCTCCTCTCCTGCCTGGATATGACTTCAGAGGAATTTTCTTACGGGTGTGGGATGCCTTTCAGATATAACATTTCAATATATGGAAAATTCAGTCAAACCATGGTATCTTCAACATAAAAATAGCTGGTAGTTCTTCTCTTCCACTCCTGCATCAATAAAGATACTTTGGTGTTTATTCAAAGATCAGCCAAACTTATGGGGAACTAGGAATTACTTAATAATAACAGAATGAGTGTCTAAGTAAAAGGCATAAAAGAGAGCTCAGACACCTGAAAATACAATCAAAGAAAGAAGACTTGAAGCCACTCAATGATATAAAAAAACAGCGAAGGATTGGTTTTGGTGCAGAAAACCTTTCTGACAAAAATACCAGCGTAAGTTTACAAAAGCTGTTGTCTACACAAAATGCTGGAAGCATTGATGGATGTTGTTCCGATTGGGAACGGCTTTAAAGAACGACACTGACTCTCAGGGGAGTCACAACAGGAGAATTCCTTAGTTTATTGCTTCAGCTCTGTCTTATAGACAGATACGTGGAAAGTACAGAAAGGAAACTCTTATTGGTTAACAAAGTGCTACATCACCATCATTGGTCAGGGGGGCCCATCACCCCCCCGGCCTTCTCCTGCAAGAGAAAACAAGACTGCAAAACAACACCTGCAAGGCTGTTTAGTATCTCTGAGAATTGTTTTAATTC